CCGGAGCTGAGCTACTGCCTGATCACTGCGGTGAGTCGGCTGGAACAACGGACTTCGCTCACGTATTACCTTCATTATACGGGTCGAGCATGGGTTCAAGGTGTTTCTCTTTCTCACAGCACTGCAAAAAGTCCCGAAAAGTCCTGGTATACACTTCGCTAGCTCTAGAAAGTCCCGACCTTGCTCTGTCAACTTCCGAACCCCCGAAAAGCACCAATAGCTACCACGTTAGAGTCCCCCCGCCTGAGCTGAGAGGTATGTAGTAAGCTTACTATCAGAGTGAAAAGCAGCGAGCTGCATCTCGGGCACGCCATGAATCCAGGTGACTCGGCATACTAGGATTGCGCTTCTCTACAGAGTACCAAACCATGGCAACATCAATTCTCCCAACGCTGCCCCCATTACGGCAGGCTGTCGTGCAGTCAGCCACGACAGCCGGGTCCTTTGACCTCCGCACTGACCTGCCCATGCCAACCATGTCACCTGACCATGTACTCATCAAGGTGAGTGCAGTGGCAGTCAACCACTGGTGAGTTTTGGCTGTACGCAGTGCATGTGAGACATATACTGACTTCGCACGTCTATCTCTGTAGCGACTACAAAATGCCAGCCCGAATACATTGTCCCAACACGGTCGACGGCTGCGACTTCTCAGGCGTGGTCGTGCGTGTTGGCGACGCTGTTGCCAGTACTCCCGGCGGTCTGGAAATTGGCGATCGCGTTGCTGGCGCTCAGATGGCCTCTCAGGCTCGACGACCCTGGTCCGGTGCCTTCACTGACTACATCGCGGAGAAACCTGACAACCTGTGGCGTGTTCCCGACCACTTCTCTTGGGAGCAGGCGGCTTCGATAGGTTGCGCTGTGGCCAGTAGCGTGGGAATGGCGCTTTGGTGGGAGATGAAGCTGTCTGGAACGCCCGAAGAACCAACGAAAGACCCCAAATTCGTTCTGGTCTATGGTGGATCCACCGCCAGTGGAACCTTTGCCATGCAGCTGTTGAAGATGTGAGTGACCCATTGTTTCCCTTTCGCTACGAAGTGTCGTGAGCGTATGATGATTGATCTAACGTATTCGTAGGTCGGGCTATAGAGTCATCACGACCTGCTCTCCCAAGAACTTCAAGCTTGTGGAAGAATATGGAGCCGAGAAGGCGTTTGACTACCACTCGCCGACGTGTGGGGAAGATATACGAGCATACACCAAGAACTCGCTGGAATATGCACTAGATATCATTACCGAAGCGAGGTCTATCCGCCAGTGCTACGCGGCTATTGGACGTGGTGGTGGTAGATACATCGGTTTTGAGCTTCTGCCGGATGAACTCATGGCCACAATGAGGAATGCTGTCAAGCCAAGCTGGGTCATGGGTTTAGAAGTGGCCGGATTAGAGTTGGAATTACCAGGAGGATACTATCGCAAGGCAAACCCTGAGCTGCATGACTGGCTTCATGGGTGGATCAAGCGCTTCGCCGCCTTGCTCGACTCCAAAAAATTGAAACCACATCCCATGCAGATCAACCCGGGCGGATTAGCCAAGGTCATTGACGGACTGGGAGTCTTGCAGCGTAAGGAAGTCTCAGCGCAGAAGCTGGTATATCCTTTGTATGACTATTAGATAGTAATGATAGCCCATTCCGACTTGATCTAGTCGTCAAGAAATGTCATTGACTCCTTGATACTGGCTCGTATCGACTCTACGTACGAGCTGCTTCCATGCAGTGACTTGACATCCTCTTGTGCCATAACGGTCCAAAACAGCCGGAGTCGTTGCGCACTGGAGAAGATACCCGAAGCGGCCGCGGTGGATGAGGCAACTGCCTCGCCTGAGAGACAATATTCTGCTGGAATCCCCATGCAACACTCTAGGGTTTGTACCTGGCCCTGAATTGCGTCTAGAATGCCTATAGCATACGCCTTGAGGGGCATGTCTTGAAGCGCAGAGACACCGCCGATGCGGAGTACCGACTTGACCTTGATGGTCTTGTACGACTCTGGCGACACTTGGCAGAGATATTTGTGGATGCGCTGGAATAGGGAGTCGAAGAGCCTCATCAACGCAAGGTAGCTAGACAGAATTAGGAGTAGGGTTTCCGTGTTTAGTGTATGTTCGGTCTGCATGTGTAGCTGCCTCGCTGGTGTGAGGTTTTGGATAATCCCGGTGAACTCTTTGGTGCATGTCAGGAGTAAAGCTGCTGGATTCTCGACATCTCTTCCCGCAGCCTCATCCTTGCAACGCTGTTGAACTTTGGAAGCATTTGAGTAGTATGTGTCAATTGTCGCGATGCGCTGGTCTATCTCCTCTCGGAACATTACTAGAGAGCTTGCGGCGGTGGAGAATTGCGGTAGTGGCGTTGGGTCGGAAATCTCCCCACAACTAAGTAGCGGGCCAGTATTCGAATCAAGACCCGTGCTAGGAACTCCTTCCATATGAAGCATCATGTCGAATTCATCGTTTGCACCTGGAAGTCCCTGAAACTGATCCGCTAGGGAGACGCTGTCTGCCCCCGACATGGGACTATGATCCATCGAAGAGGGATAAGAGTCGAAGAAAGCGGAGATGTCGCCCGTCGCACCCCAGAAATCTGGTAATGGCTCATAAGCAGTGGGGTCTCTTGGCGAAGGGAGGTGCATGGCGGAATCATTCGCTTGTGTAGGCGTGGGAACCATTGATGTCGCAGTTGCATGAGCGTTTTCGTGGTTGACATCTCGCAACGTCGACGGGCGTTGGGCTCTGGGCGAGGCGACGGCATGACGCTGCTTGGGCGGTCTTCCAGGGTGACCGGCGGCGCCTGTTACGCATTGCGCGCCCATGTAGCAGCAGCGAGCGCACGCCGCCGTGCTGTCTTGGGCTCGAAGGCATCGAACCCGCTTTGCCCTGCACTGGTCGCAGGCGGAGCGGCGAACTGCGGACTTGTGCATAGTTGGTGTAGTGCTTAGATAGGCGCGGAAATGGGAATGCAACCCAACCGAGTTAAAGGAGATATTTCGTATGATTTGACCAGGCACGGCTGACTGTTGTTGCGTGAATTAGTCACGTGGGGAAACCCCCCGAGGAGGGTTTGTGATTAGCCAATCAGCAACGATTGTCCCACTTTAAACCCGGGCCATGTCGAGGTGCGTGTGAAGGAGCGTAGTAGCCGTCCTTTGGAGTTCACGGTGGCACGCGATGCATTCTGCCTCGTGTACTTTGATTTGAAGCTCTGGAACTCTGTATATCAGATAATCGTTGTTAATAGCACATAGTTGAGTTGTGGATTTAAATGTTCATTCCGCTAGGAAAGACTCTATGTATGCGGTGGCTTGCATCGAAGCAGGGAAGTTTCCCGCAAACTTCGATACCTGTAGCTAGTGCTGGGTTGGCCTTGGTCTATCAAATCCTATTCTGTTGGCATTCAGGTAATAGAATCACGATGCTGGAGCCTCAGCCTTTGTTGCACCTTTCGCTTCCTCCTCGGTGGGCTTGTCTTTACTGTCTGTCATGCCAAATTCAGTGTCGTTCTCCCTTCTAAGCGGTACTTGCTTCAGCAAAGCAGCAGCAATGAAGCCTACTCCACCAAAGGCGATGGCAACCTGCCAGGATCGCTGGAGCGCGGTGCTCTGTACAGATATTACTTGCGCACGCACCTGAGCGGACAGTGTGTCAAGGAAGTCGAGCTCGGCTGCCGCGTATGCGCCGCCCGTCATAAACTGAGCAGCTACCATCTTGTCGCTGATGGCACCTGAGCGAGCCAGCTGCGCAGCGCGGTTGGTGTAGGTGGTACCGGCGATGGCCACGCCCCACAAAACGCCGAAGCTTCGCATGAAGCCCCACGTGGCCGTCGCTACTGCTGTATCCTTGTCGCTCAGAGAGGCTAGTAGCGCGGGGAGCATGGCCCCCATGCCGAAGCCCGCGCCAAAGGATTCAATCACCTGGAAGCCCACCCACGCGCCTGCACTCGACCTCTCATCCAGGAGCGTGAATACGCCAAACCCGATGACGATTAAGGCGAAGGAAGTGGCGAGAATGGGCTTGTAGCGACCGAACTTGCTGAGTAGCAACCCGCCGCCGATAGCGCCTGGGAGAAGTGCGAGGATGGTGGGAAGAAGATAGATGCCGGCCTTGTATGCATCTACTGCGAGAACGCCTTGGAAGTATACTGGGAGGAAGTAAAGCGCCCACATAGTGACAATACCGTGGAGAAAGGCGAGGAGGAAGACGATGAGGCTCATAGAGTTGCCGAAGAGATGGAGTGGCATGATGGGATTTGGCGTCAGGCGAGCATTGCCTTCAAGTACGATGAAGCCCCCCAACGTGGCCAACCCAAGCAAGAGCGGTACGAGGACTTGGTAAGATGACCATGGATATTTTCCTCCTGCCCAGCTAACGGCAAGTAGGACCGGGGCACAACCACTGACGAAAAGTGCGTTGCCCAGCCAGTCGAGGCTCGAAGCCTTGGTGGCCCAAGTCTGAGATTTGTCGTATTTGACCTTCAGAAAGGCGAATAGCAGTACGACCGCAACGCCGCCGATGGGAAGAGCCATGTAGAAAGCCCAGCGCCAGGTGCTGTAACTCACGAGCAGTCCGCCAAAGAAAGGACCAAGAGCAGCACCGAGACCGACCATGCCAAACACGGCGCCCATGTAGGTTCCCCTCTCTCGAAGCGGTACTAAGTCGCAGATGATAATCTCACAGAGGACGGCGACTCCTGCTGCTCCAATCCCCTGTACCACTCGACCGCCGATCATTTGGGATATGTTGGTCGCTCTGCGCATTCATCTTCTCATCAGCAAAGACTTCGAGCTTGACACGAAGAAATTGGATCGCGAGTCGGATTTCAAGGGTGTGATAACTTACCCGCCACAAACGCCACTCCCTATCATGAAGACGACCGCTGATATGATCATGGGCCACCGACGACCGAATACATTGGCGAGCTGTCCATACATGGGCATCAAAGAGGTCCTATCTGAATCAGTTACGGGTTCGTCGCTCAGGCACAAGGCTCTCTGGGGCAGAAGCCTTACATGGTCAAGAAGTATGCATTAGAAACCCAGATGAATTCTTCGCCCCCACCCAGATCGGCGACGAGAGATGGCATAACCGTCGAGGTAACTGTGGCCTCCAAAGCCGTGAGAAGGCTCACTAGTGAGAGGACGACCATGATGGCCCAGAATCTTGGACCTTTCTGGAACTTTGGCGGGTTCTTTTCCGTTGTCGCATCCTGGGCATCGACCGAAGCTTCATTTGACTCCGAGTTCGGAGCGGCTGGGTTTTGCTGTGTCATCTCACAGAACAGGAAGGACGGCTGGAAGGATCGTTTGATCTTTTGGGCGATAGGCTGACCGTGTGGTTGGTACCAGGTTTGTAGTACGATGATGCGCAGGCAATGGGCTGTGTTGAAACCTTGGTACAGGAAGTTGATGGAACGTCCGGAAGTATTCGCACCTTTGGTTGCATGTGAGGAACTGTCTGTGACTACGTATTCAAGGCTGCAAGAAGCCTGGCCATCACCGCGGAGGGTTTTACTGGGTGGGCCATAGTCAACCTCGCAGGGTTTTGCGATCCTCCGCGGCTAGATGTTGGAAGTGGAATTATTTCAGCTCGGTCGACAGGCTTCCTGCAGGTGGCTTGGAAGCTACTGCTTTCAAGTGTGACAAAGCCCCCAAACACATGTTGGTAGACACCTCGCTGCCTTCCACCGGTGTATACATTCCGCACCTTGTTTTGGTTAGCGTTCCGGCAAAAGCGCCGGCACGAAGTAATATTGAGCCACATCTCCAGCCACAGATGGTCACCGCAACACTTTCCGTAAGCATCATATCTAGGTACACCCGCATGTCTCATGTACATATTCAATCCAACGAGCAGATGACGCAATAGATGACGACGGCTGTTAGCGTGACGAAGATAGGATAAAGCCTTAATCAAACCGTCGCGGAGAAGTCCATGTGAGGCCCCCTGGCGTGAGTTCGCAATCAGATCCCCACCCACCTGGGCAGCCCACGGGTGGCTCCTACGGGTGGCCCAACGGCCCGCCGCCGTATCCCGCGTTTGGGGTCGCACTGTAACGCAGGCTTTCAAGGTTGGGTCGCACCTTCGGGTCGTACTGTCACGCCTTCGCTTAATGAACGAATGGTTTGCCATGCGTCCTGCAAGTTCAAAAGTCTCGGCGACCTTGAATCCTTCACGGCAAGTCCCATTACATCCCGCCATTTGGACGAGGAGCCAAACGGGTGTCCTTAGAGACATTGGCTATATCTTCCATCCACTAACACATTGCATTCATGCCACAGCTGCACACCTCAGCTAGCATTCGGCTCCTCCTCGTTCAACGCTCGGGAGAGCAGGTTTCTTGATTGAGTGGTCGTTGGGTCTCCACCACCAACTCTCTGCCTGGCAGCAGCACGCCGCTCTGGGGCCTGCGATAAGAACCTATTCTGCGGGATAAGACAACAATAGAGTCAGTCCTATCATCTTCCTCGTGTTTTACAAGGTTCTCTGCTGTACATCATTAGCCTCACGTAAGCTGGTCATAGCAATATCGCAAGCTTGCCGAGAAGTCTCACTTGCTTCTTTAGCTGAAGACTAGCCTCAATCCATACATTGGGGAGTCACGGCATATAGTTCGCACTATCACCGTCGCTCGTCCTTACCTGTCTAGGTGCTACCGACCTAGCATGTCCTCGCATGATTTACTCGCGGACCTTTCTTTGTTCCCAACATGCCACGTCTAGATTCTTCCAGCTGCTTCTCGGGTTGCAAATCGGGTTCTATTGTGGAGACCCCAAAGAAAGAAAAGTCCCAACAGCTGGCATGTGACAGATGTCGAGGTCAGAAGCTGCGATGCATACGGAGCTCGAATTCCAAGGCCCCTTGTGAGAGGTGCCAGAAAGCCGGTGCAACGTGTATCATCGATACCGGGATACGGATGGGTAGACCGAGACGGGCAGACAAGGAGCAGTCTCGAGAGAGCAGCGACAGTGCTCACGACCCATCCAAACCCACGCGATCATCACCTCTTCCCAACGCTGTATCGCAAACGAGAACCGCTGTCGACTTTACCATGGACAGCGACGCTTGGCTAGTACATGATCTCGACGATACACCGATTGACCCAACGTTACAAAGTGTCACAGTTCAGTACCTGGACCCCTTCGACTTTGCACTCGCTGGGGAAGCCACACTCGAAGACGATTCGATGAATCTACCGACCGAACACTTCCTCCTTCCGACGATGGATCTTTCCACGGGCCAGTCCATTCCAACACTCACGGAAGACGAACGACCTACAATCGATTCTACCGAGCCACTCCACGGACGTGGTTGCTTTTCACTCATGCGCCAAGAGACAATGCAGGAGTTGTCAGACCTGAATATGCAGCTGTCCCGACAATTGGGGGCCGCAACCTCTACAGGGGCCGGGTCAAGGAACATCCACTCGGGTTTGGGTCTGACAGCTTTGGCTACACCACCAGAGGAGAACCGTACTCTCTGCGATACTGTCATCTCTATGACGCAAAGCCTTCAAACCTACCACAGGCTGCTCGTCGACATCGTCGGACCCAATCACTCGGCTATCTACGACTCACACGACAATCGCAAGTCTAGCACTGTAGCCAGTAGTTGGCTGAGTCCAATCGAAGGATTGGACGTTGATGAGTCAAGAAGCTACATGTCTGACACGACAGGCCGATCGCCGCTAAAAAGGCGTCGAACAGATAGCAGTGTTGACTTCGCTGTAGTGCACCAGACGTCTCATAGCAGTAGCGTTGACATGCCTACGAGCCTTCTTTTACTCTCCTGCCACGCAAATCTCCTACACCACTGTCGAAATACCTTTTCCGCCATTCGAGCAGCGCTACTCGCCACACGCCGCCAAATCAATCTCTTTACGATCTCGTTTCTCAACATAGTTGACGTCTCCTTGCCTCCCGATCCGGACCTGCAGATCATTGTTCTTATTCAAGCTGTAATTAGAATGGTAGATAGAATTGGCCGTTTACTGGGCTACCCGAATGATCGCGAGGCCGGCTCAGATGGCGATGGATGCGAGAGCGATACTCGCGACAGTGTTATCCCCCGGCACCTCCTCGAGCTGATGCTGAAAAGTGAAGGATGCGGAAATGGCTCGGCAGATAGAGCAGGGACCAAGGCGCTGAAGGAGGAGATTCGCAGACTACATGAGCTTGTGTACAAGCCAGTGTAAAGGATACCGATGTGTGACAATATCGAGCGGTATTGCGAGCAAATAGATCCTCATACATACCGTTAATGAAACGATAGATAAGGTATCACTGCCCTCTGTAAACTTCACAAATTGTATTCTCCGGCACTCAGTCTTGGCAAGATACCCCCACAAACTCTAAGACGCCTTCAGGTGTTACGAATCATTACTGAACATACACCACGCCCGTGAATATGACGCTTCCCAGATTCAAGGGGGTAATTCGAGCCGAATGGGCTTCGGTGGATTTTCTGGGACGTGGTAGCCGAGTGGCGTGATATGCACGCGCTGTCAGACGGTCAGACGTGCCCAGGTGTTCGGGACTTTCCAGTTTTCCCACAACACACGTCCCACACACCTTCGGAAGCAGAAAAACTGATGCAATTGCAGGGATAAATTGCGAGCAACAAGGTGACCTTTCAGCTATCATCTCCAAAGCGTCGCAAATGTCAAGGATTACTTGATTTGGAAGCACGGAAATCAGCTTCTTGAACTCTACCAACATTGAATTCTTACCCACTACCCATCGGCCAGCCATGTCACTCGCGGAGATTGCTCTCCGGCTTCTCCGCCTCAGTCCGGCGCTCGTATCCTCCATGACCCTCATGTTCGCCCTCGATGAGCACCTGATGTTCGGAACTTGGGTGCAGGACCCCATCCGCCCGTTAGCAAACTCTATTCTTCCCGCCTGGTGGACTAGGGGCGGCCTTCGATGGCAGTGGGTGCTGATCGTCTTCTACCCCGTCGGCTACCTTCTCGGCATTCTCAACCTGCTTATACCGGGACATCAGTTCGGCTCGACGACGTGGTATGCATGGGGACTATTCTTCAGTTTAGCTCATATGCTGTTTGCACCAACGGCTCTGCGCCGTATAGCAGCTATCGAGAAAAACATTCCACATGGTAATGTTGTCATCTCCATGGAGTCTTGGCTTCGGATGAATTGGATCAGAGCTTGGACTACAGATCTGCCGGCTTGGTTGTGCTTTATTATCGCTGCGCTTAAAGCGCTGTGATGGATGATTGCAAGCAGGTTGACGAGGACGATGTGAGCGACGGGGTCAAAGGGGGCGGGAGTGAGAGGGCGGAGTACGGGTGGGGGCAGTAGATTACAATCTCTAAGCTCGCAATATATGGCCAAGGCGGGTATAAAAAGAAATTTTGAACCACACTAAATGCCCAACAAGGTCCTTTTAGGCGTGCGATATGCTCACGATACGAGCTTTGTAGCGGATGATTGCACACGTTCACGGATATCTAAGGGATGAAGCTTTGATCGTTTGCGCCCCGACCTCAGGACCCACTCACTAGCCTCGCGCTAGCGGACCGTCTGCCGGAGGCTCTTTGATTCGAAGAAACTTTCTTACTAGATGATGAAAGGCTCGTCGCTTTTGGGGATAGGCGGTATACACGATTGGTATACATACAGCTGATATAAGCCAAGAGCTCGTGATTTATTGATAGGATACCCGACAAAGAGAAATATTGCACGCGCACAGCTACAACGATAACGCCAGGTCACCGAAGTGCATGGTACATTGTCCAGCACAATATCCATGGCCCTCATAATACCCCTCTCTACTACTCCAGATACAGCGCAGCGCAGCACATTAACAAAAGAGCAGTGTGCGGAATGAAGCTTTCCTTCAACTGCAAGTCAGAGTAAAGCCCTGTTATAGACAAGACGACGCCCATTGGCAGCCCGATACCACGGAGGCTCGGTACCCAGAGTACGACCGAGAGGAAGGCACTGACGCCGAGCATGAAAGCTTTCAGCTGCTGATCCGAAGGGTTCAGCCACCATGAAAACAGCACTCTATTGTGGTCCGGTAGTCTCTCTTCGAGATTTTTAGAGAAACCAGGCGTGAGCTTCGTGGTCAGGCGCGCTTGCATGGCGATAGCGAGAAAGAAGACTAGCGACTTGCAGATCCAGTCACTTATGACTGGTCCTGAAGGCATGTTTTCTGTAGGAAAGTGAAGAAGGCCTTGAAGAGATAAGGTTAGCATGTTGCACACGTTGCCTTATTGATGAACGAACTTACTATGCCTGATGCTGGTGTCCTTGCCTGGATGATCCAATGGATCAACGACTCGATTCGGCCTCGCTGGACTTGGTCACAACTGCGTGCTCGCTTGGATAGGTAGAGATGAACAGGAAGTATGTTTGCGGGTCGTGTTTGACGGTCGAATGGGCAAGAATGTGGAGGAAAGACCTATCCGTCTATATATTGTGTCATCATTTCGGTACTTACGATTTTCCTTCACTACAAGCGGGTGCAGCCTCAGCGCTACTACAGGATAGTACCGATACCGTGGCCCAGCAGACTATTCGGTATTTTTGTTGCCCATATTGAAAGAGAAAAGTACCGACGTTACATGCTCGGTACTGGTGCGATCAGGCTACAGTTTCTTCACAGCATCTTTGTCCGCTCCGATTCTTCCTTCGCACACTGATTCCATCTAGAGGCCCGAATCGGACTGGCTGTTCTTACGCGTCTGACACCGATCCCGAAATACATCAGCCTGAGAGACAACGACTCCAAATCCTCTCGAATGCTGATGTTGGGACGGGAAGCCGAAGTCAAGAACGCCACAGGAAATTTGGGGCCGCCCTGAGTGAGCATTTGTATGCAAGTTAGTGGGTGGTGGTGTAGTTCAATAGTACGAATGAAAAACATTAGTTGACCAAAAAACATTGACTCACCACATCCTTTCGCGCGACTTTGATCATTGACGAGTTTCAACACCGTGTCCCAAGCTATACGACCATCTTGCATTCGCAATGACTGCCCACCGCGAGACTTCACATGGCAACGGAGAGCCAATCGCCGTTGTTGGAAGCGGCATGCGCTTCCCTGGCTCTTCGAACAATTCGTCCAAACTCTGGGAGCTTCTGCTCAATCCGCGCGATCTTCTCAAGCGCATCCCAGAGGATCGTTTCAACATCGACAACTTCTATCATCCGGACCCGAACCACCACGCAACGACGGATGTTCGGGAGTCGTACTTCCTCGAGGAAGACCACCGTCACTTCGACGCGGGGTTCTTCAATATCAAGCCCGTCGAAGTAGCCGCCATTGATCCACAGCAGCGCCTGTTGATGGAGGTGGTCTACGAATCGCTGGAGGCGGCGGGAATACCGCTGGAATCCTTGATCGGCTCTCGTACCGGGGTCTACGTTGGACTGATGTGTGCCGACTACCACGACCATTTGCACAAAGACGTCGACACTTTGCCAACCTATGCTCCGACAGGAACGGCTCGAAGTATCATGTCAAACCGCATTTCGTACTTCTTCGACTGGCATGGCCCCTGTATGACCATCGATACCGCGTGCTCTTCCAGCCTGGTCGCGGTCCACCAAGCAGTCCAGCTGCTGAGAAGCGGCGACTCGGACGTTGCGGTCGCGGCGGGAGTTAACATGATCCTTGGATCCGGACAGTACATTGCCGAGAGCTCGCTGCACATGTTGTCGGCCGATAGTCGGTCACGCATGTGGGATGCTGATGCCAGCGGGTATGCGCGTGGTGAGGGTGTAGCTTCTGTGATCTTGAAGCGCCTGAGCACTGCGCTCGCTGACGGCGACAAGATCGAGTGCATCATTCGAGAGAGTGGAGTTAACCAGGACGGTCGAACGAAGGGTATCACCATGCCAAGTGCCTCTGCACAGATGGATCTCATCGAGCAGACTTACAAGAAGGCCGGGCTGGATCCAAAAGACCCCAATCAGCGCTGCCAATACTTTGAGGCGCACGGAACTGGAACTGCGGCTGGCGATCCAAAGGAAGCTGAGGCTATCAGCAAAGCCTTCTTCCACCCCGGCGATAGCACGTCCCATAAGGGCGATCCACTCTACGTTGGCTCCATCAAGACCGTCATCGGTCATACCGAGGGTACCGCGGGATTGGCTGGTCTTCTCAAAGCCTCTCTCGCAGTACAGCACGGCGTCATACCACCCAATCTGCTTTTCAACAAACTTCATCCTGCCGTGGAGCCGTTCTACACCAATCTCGAGATTGCAACAAGCTCCAAACCATGGCCAAGTCTCGCGGATGGTATTCGCCGTGCCAGTGTCAACAGCTTCGGCTTCGGAGGCACGAACGCGCATGTCATCATCGAGAACTTTCTGCCTTCCACTGGCACCCCTACACCGGACAGTACGACTCTTTCCACGCCGCTGTTCTCACCCTTCAACTTCTCAGCTGCATCTAGCAGTGCATTACGAGGAGTCTTGTCGTACTACTCGAAATACCTTCAATCTCATCCCACTGTCGATCTTGGCGATCTTTCCTACACCTTGTATGCTCGAAGATCTCATCATGCAATCCGAGCCAGCATATCGGCAAAGTCAGCAGAGGACCTCCAGGCCAAGATTGACGACTTGCTGGCGGCATCATCGGAGGGAGGTGCTGGCTCCAGTTTTGGCACCCGTGCGAAAGAACTCTCGCGACCAGTACAGATCTTGGGCGTGTTCACTGGCCAGGGTGCACAGTGGCCGACTATGGGCAAAGGCTTGATGAAGAGCCCGTATGTCAGGACAATAGTCGAAGACCTGGATCGTGAACTGCAGCGTCTTCCTGAGCCACACAGACCAAGTTGGACACTTGTAGACCAGCTCACCTGCGACGCGACTGAGTCTCGCGTGGCAGAAGCTGCATATGCACAGCCGCTCACAACCACAATCGAGATCATCTTGTACGATCTCCTTCGCAGCGCAGGCGTCAGCTTCCATGCGATCATCGGCCACTCCTCGGGCGAGATTGCCGCAGCTTACGCCAAAGGGTTCATCACCCGAGCAGAGGCGGTCAAGATCGCGTACTACCGGGGTTACTATTCAACCATGTGTCCATCCGACAAGCCTGGAGCCATGATGGCCGCTGGCGCATCTGCAGAGGACGCGAACGAGCTTTGCGACCTGCCTATGTTCAAGGGTCGTTTGTGCGTCGCTGCCTACAACTCGCCTACAGCTGTCACGCTTTCTG